CGGTCGCTCCATCATATCTGTTAAATACATACTGTAACTGTGATGACAGAAACATCGGAGTATTCGTAACCTAAAACGTGTTAACACCATTGTTTACTCTCCGGTTTGCATTTCACCACACCAATCTCGGCTCACAAATCACCCTCATTAACTACCACGGGAAAATTTTTTTATTCTGTTTCGGGCACGGATTTCCATTAACTAGTCTTCGTAGGTGGATACAATAAAATTTCGTGCGTCCCCCGGTAAAAAGTTTGCACCGATGGTCATTAAACCTTCTTAGGAGAAACTGTGGATCCCTGTGTGTTGTTGTGATGAGGTTAAAACGTTTAAGCATAAAAAGGAAGATAATGATGAACGGCAAATCAAAATACGACACGAAATGCGTGGTGTCATGACAAAACCTAGGGAAATCTTTTTCCTTTGAAAATATCCAATATCTAAATCATCTACCGCTGATGCAGCAGAAACATCCATCCCCGTGTAACAGATCGACTAAATTAGGTGGTTACCCGTATTTCCGGGAAAGGAATAATGGCTTCGACGGTGAGAGTAAACTCGTTGTGCGCTTGATAAAAGTAAATGGATTATATTCTATTGTATTGAAGCTGGGATGTCGCGCGCGATGTTTAGGGTGAATAGAGGTAGAGATGAACGAGTGATGTGTGGTCATACGCGTAAATGCGCAGCGTCATGCACGTATGTTGCATAAATGTTCAATGAGATGCAAGCAAGGTTCACAATATAAAATGCATGTGCTGTACGTAAGTAAGTGAGTACCTACGCACGATTTTCTCTAATTATCACCATCTCTTCTTACCTTTCAATTAATAATATTCTTTGGATATCCTGTGACGTTCGGTTAGAAGACGGAATTCGATGCCGAAGAATGCAGGCATTCTTCAAGTATAGAGAATGTAGAGTTTTCGTATACAGTATTTTTTATTTATTAAAAAATTATGCGTGTCCACACGAATCATTGAAACAAAATAAAGAACAATAACCCGGAAGCAATCTCGTGCATTAATTATATCCATGAACAATAGCGATGGTCATCAATGCGCACGAGTATATCATTTCCTTAAATTAAATTAACTGTTTGTTGTTGTGTTTATACATCTACCCCAATAGGTTCACTGTGCTGAACAAAATGGTTGTTGTGCACAATGGCAAAACCGGTGAAAGATAAATAGACTAACTGAATGCTTGCCAAGTAAATAAAATGGCAAATGCGTAAACAGATTGAACCAGGAGATTTTCTATAGAAGTGTAAATAATTAAATTATGAGATGATTGTCTTCATTAACAATATTCATACCATTTAATAAAAACGAAGCACGTAATCGCATCTCATTGTTCGTCGTCGCCACAAATTTGATCGTGGCTTTTTTCACACAAAATTGAATTTCGTCAATATAAAATAATCATCAAATTTTGACTTATTATTAGAAATCATAATCCATCTTTGACCTCCTATTCTACCTTCTTCCTTCTGACCAAAATCAAACGCCTCACTCATCATTTTCTTGCGTTACACCGTCATCCCAGACTTACCAGGAGAGGAAATAACTCTATTGGAAATCAATCTTATGAATAATGCGCCACAAGTGGTTCAGGACAATACCACGCTGTTGTTGATTCGAACGTACGCGTCCATCTGACAATTCTTTAAACAAGTCGGTGAATGCATGCCTAGATATTGTGATATTCGGTTCTTCCTTCTTTCCCATATCCTCATCTTATGATTGTTGAATTGTTCCGTGGAAGTGATTGTGTCTGAACGCAGGAAAGTTCGGAAAGATTGCTTGTCATTTTTTTATTATTTTATTCTCTTTATATGTTAGGTGCAGCATTACGTGAAGTCGATTGTGGCATTAATATTATCCTCCCATTTCCCTGTGTGTTCTCAGGTTATCCTCATACTGTATTGGTTCATTCTGTCATTCGTTCGACCTAATCCACGCGTTGTGTCTCGCATCCTGATATATTTTTGGTAAACACGTCTATCAAATTATTTTCCTTAAATGCATCTCACAGCAGACCGATTGCGGATAAAGCTAGAGAAGATTAGGAAAATGGTCTCAAGGGATGATTCCCTGTGCATTAATTGCAACGCGACTTGATCAATGAATTCGCGATATGCATGCAATGAAAAACTTATTTATTCTTTTGGACTGAAAGTTCGATTCCAATTTTTTCTTTCTTTCTTTCTTTCTTTTTCGGTTAATCACTTTGGTTTTTGTTATCCAGATTTGGTTGATCACGAAAACGTTCATGAAAAGAAAAACCTTGGATTTCATTCACCCGAGGTGGAAACGGGAAGCAATCGATTTAATAAGTGTTATTTGGGAAATAACAAAGAAATACTTACATGCGGTGTTTATGTGTAGAACAGAACATATCTTCATTAATGCACTTCCCTATCCTATCAAGTTTTTTTGTAGTGTCAACCGAATTTTTGAAAGCATCGCAGATGCTTTATTTATTATGATCCCAAAACGTTTTTCATATATATACAATAAAGGAAAAAAATATGCATCATTCTAGGGAGTCTAAGTATATTTCTATTACATAATCTACCCACCAATTCTTTTCGCCTTCATTAATTCAAATACCTTCTCGGCTGTTTTCTCATCCTTCATTTGCATCATGTAAACGATCCTCATGATGGTATCTACGTTGTGCAGGGTAATGGCGATATTGGTTTTACCCACTCGCTCCACTCCGTCTTCCCATAAGATAGCATCCACCAGCTTTGCTTTTTGTCTGTTACTATTAACCATGATTCGCTTTCTTTGGGGTGTCTCTATCACCAAGCTCATCATGCCCCATCCGAAATTTGTCCACACGCCATGATCGTTCTGCAGAAATATTTTGACCTTGTGCTCCGACACCTGTGGTAACGCATTTTCGGCTCCCTCATTTGTTTGAAGACGCGAGATCGGATGCCAATTCATCATAGCACTTTTGGTGTTTTCCCTCTCACTTTTTTGCAATGACGAGGAACGTGAACTCAAAGATCCTTGCGCCGTAACGCTTCCGTTTGACAAATTTTTGACATTGTTTAAATTCTCAAATAATTGTTTCGCGTCTTCGGGTTCGGCACAGGTGACCCTGTAATACTGCCTGCTTTGTCCAATGTCACATGATATACTAACCTGCATCGCGGAGTCTAGGTGTATGGTAGTGCCTGGGTGTATCCATGAATTGAGAATGATTTGATTGATCTTATGTAACATGATAACCCAACATCCCACATTCGTGGATGTAATTTTAACTTCAACGGTACAATTGTCTTTTGTTGTAATTGGCTCCCATATACCACCAACCCAACGATCAACATTGGATGGCGACAACCTGTAAACCGTCTCCTCAAATTTTCTTATCGAACGGACGACTGAACGTGCACCCGTTGCGAACATCGACTCTCGCATTGGGGTGATCGCGGGATCGCTATTGCGTTCTTGAATATTATTTCGATCTTTTATAATATCTGTTGGTGTGTAATCTCCTGGATATTTTCCACCCGAGTTTTGAGGAGGTTCCGGTGTATGCGAACGTAACATGTTATTTTTGATATTTGTGGTGTGGACGTCAAATGACGACTTGCGATTGAGTGCTGGCAATTCGGTTTTGAGCAGTGGAGGGGTTAATGTCTCCCTAGAATTCTTAAGATTGCTATATGATTTTTTACGATTAGACGCTGACGGTGTTGGCGTTTCCATGGAATCTCTATGATTGCCGTGTGACGATTTACGATTGAGCGTTGATAATAGAAGTGTTGATGTTCCTCTGGAACCTTTAGGGTCATCATATAACAAATTACGCTCATGTGCTAGGGATCCATTCTTTGAGGGTAGAGGAGTTTGAGTTTCAACAATTGTACGATCATGCATTGGATTAACTTCAGTGGGAGGTGATATTTGATTTGCGTCAGTCAGGATCTTGTGGTCAACACTCTCAACAGTATGATCGTTCGTGGATGGCGAATGTTCGTCATTTCCAGGTTCTCTAAATGAAGATTTCCTTGATAGAGTTCCTGAACTTGAGCTTTTTCGCGAAAGTCGAGAATTCCTGACAAAAACACTAATAGTTCTCCTTGCTAAAATGAGAATTGTAACGTTGATCAGAAAATTTTCCGTTTTTTTTTTTTTTTAAAAAAAATAAAGAAAGATAACACACGATTATTAGCAAACTCTATGATTTTTTTCAACTCTTTCAACCAAATAAGCTTTGTCTCTGCATCAGTCGGGAACAATATCAAGCTCTCCCTGTTCAAGAGAGTTATCTCCACCATTTCTAAAATCAAATTAGATAAAGTTATTGGTAGGATCAATATCAAGCTAAGAGTGATCATGACAGCATTAACATATTCTACCTCCTTCGCTGCTAATGTCAGTAATTGTCAAATGTCTCCCACTCAACGGTGGGTACAACAAGTAGAATTCGAGATCAGAATTTTCTCGTTTTGCCTCTGGTTCAATTTTCTGGCAAATCAATAGAAGATCGGTTAACAGGAACACATGTGCATTGATATAGGCTCTGCCACTGCTTTCGGTCTCTTGAATTTTCGGAACTTCCATCACAAAATCAGAATATAAAATTATCTTTCGATCGAATGGTAAATTTGGTGGCAGCAAAGAGACGCTCATTTTCTTTTAAGTAAGAGAGAATATTGAAAACTGTAAGTACACGATTTTCCCAGAAATAAATTATTTTGGCATTACCTTAACCTGTTTAGAAATCAAATCCATCACTCGAGAATAGTCGATGCATTTTTCCAGTTCTGATAAAGTCCAATCTTTTGTGAATGCATCAACATCCGGATATACCTGTTGGATCTGTTCTTTTATAGAATTATTTTGATCATGTCGACTTTCTTCATCAATGATTTTAGAAATAATCATATCTGTCACTGAGTGTGGTCCCTTCTCTGCCTCCGGTAAAATATTTTCATAGTCTCCGAGTGATTCCAATTCCAATTGTTGATTATTTCGAGGGATGGATGTGTTAGCCATTGAGGTTTTTAGCGGTGAGGAATTCCGCACAGATATATCCGTTAACACTCTAGTCTCCTCACTTGGAATTGATGTTCTTGCTTGCTTCTCCAGATCGATCAACGCGTCAATCCGATTATTCACGGTTAATAATACGTTATTATCTGAACGTCCGGGTTCAGTGATATTAAGCATACGCTAATTGATCCCGACAATGTATTAGTAAATTTGTTGATGACAAGATGTGATACCGCTTACAATGTTAAAATTACTCACCGAATACAATTTTTTGTAATAATGAATTCTTTTCATCGGCATATCGATGAAGAAATCTAATGACACCGGAATATTCATTTCTGCCGAAATGTCCTGTTAATAACGAATTTTTTTTTTTTAAAAAAAAAGGGTTGATCTTCGAGATTCCCATAAAAAGACGAAACAATTAATTACGCTAAGTGCTTGTTGCAATGCTATGTTTCTTTCGACTTCTGGTAAACTGTCAAGACATTGTTGAAATTTTAGACAATATTTTGTGTACGGTCCTTCCATTTCATCTACCTAAGTGGACAAAGAAAGTTTATTATGGAGAAAAATCAGAATTGCGTGACGAAAAAATTTTGAATTTACACACACCCAATTAATTAGTGTGTCGCCAAGTTCTTTGGCTGATTTTTTGTCGCCACTAAGCCTTATTAGCCTCTAGAGATAGCACAAGAGTGTGTTTTATTAACTGAAAATGAAGAAATTCGATCAAGAAAGAAAAAAATAAAAAATCGACGATTAATGCATACTGAATAGAAGTTTTGGTTTTGCTTGTAAACTTCCTCTACACATCGAAACAAAGCCTTTAAC